TGGATGTCTCCCTTCTTGAACAGTAGTACGGTCCTGCTGGTTTTCCATTGAGATGGAACCTTGCATTCAGACAGGTAGCGAGTGAAGAGCCGAGCCAGTGTATTGATGAGTACTGACGGCAGGTTCTTCAGGTGTTCAGGTCTGACTTTGTCTGGGCCGGGTGCTGTTTGCGTCTTTACTGACGAAATGGCGTGTCGGATTTCGGAAGGGAGAACGTTGGGAACGACATACCCACCCTGTGGAATTTGGTATGTCGGCAAGTGGACATGGCTATCGAAGAGATTTGAGTAGAAGTCATGGATAATCTTCTCCATTGTCGTTCTGGAGGATGTGATGAATCCATCAGGACGTCGGAGGGCAGTCATCTTGGTCTTATAGTTGGCGAAGGACAGGCGGGCGTTACGAATACTTTTCCCGGCTTCTGCCGCATCTACCAGTACTTCTGCTCTTCTCTCTTTGAGGTCTTCCTTGATCGCATCTCTGCACTGCTTTGCAAGCTCGGACGTTAGCTTGCGGTTGCCTGAGGCATGCGCCAAACCACGCTGGCGAATTAGCTCAAGAGTTTTCGAAGATAGGCGACTTTTTGTGGCTATCTCTCTCTTGGCGTTCCTCGCACATTCATGGAGGTGCTGAACCAGTCGATCGTATTCCTCGTCAATGTTGTCAACAATGGCATCTTCCCATGTTGCCGCAATAGTACCAAAGAGTTCCCAGTTGGTGGTCGTTCTGGGAGTTCTCTTTTTGAACTTTGCAGCCCTTTCTCCCCGCTCTGTGAAGTAGAATTTTGCACGAAGGAGACGGTGGTCCGATCCCGTTCGAAATTTTGGGACAACAGCGACATCAGTCAGGCAAAACCGTCGATTGAATATGATGTGGTCTATTTCGTTGTGGAATCGTCCACCGGGAGACTCCCATTGATTTAAAGAAGGCCTTTGATTCTGTTGAGACGGAAGCGGTCATTGAAGCCCTAGCCAATAAGGGCATTCAAGCCCAATACATCAGGATCCTCCGTGAGCTGTATTGCGGATTCACTACCAGGATCTCACCATTCTACAAAGAAGTGATCGTTGATGTCAAGAGAGGGGTGCGGCAGGGTGATACCATTTCACCAAAACTCTTCAGTGCCACCCTCGAGAACATCATGCGACGACTGGAATGGGAAGGAATGGGAGTGAAGATAGATGGTCGGCAACTACACCACCTCCGCTTTGCTGATGACATTGTTTTAATAACACCAAACATCAGCCAAGCGGCACAAATGCTGGCCGACTTTGACCGTGAGTGTGGAAAGGTAGGACTACAGCTGAATCTTACGAAGACAATGTTTATGAGAAACAGCCTTGTTCCTGACGCCCCATTCGCTCTCAATGGAACGACCATCTCAGAATGCAACAGCTATGTGTACCTAGGTCGAGAGGTCAACATGACAAATGACCTGGCACCCGAGCTGCGCAGGAGGAAGAGAGCGGCTTGGAACGCCTTCAAGAACGTCGAAGAAATAGCTAAGAGGACGAAGAACCTCCGGCTCCGGGCACATCTCTTTGATTCCACTGTTCTTCCTGCATTAACATATGCCTCAGAGACCTGGGCCCTACGCAAACAAGATGAGAACGCCATTCAGGTCTCCCAAAGAAGAATAGAAAGAGCTATGCTTGGAATATCACGTTTCACTCAAATGAGAGAACGAATCCGGAGTTCTGACATCCATCGACGATCAAGGATCAGGGACGCTGTCTCATTTGCCAAGGTGTCGAAAATCAGATGGGCTGGTCACGTAATGAGATTTAAAGACGACCGTTGGACTAGAGCTGTTACTGATTGGATCCCATAGGATGTCAAGAGACCGCGTGGCCGCCCACCTACCAGATGGTCAGACTTCTTTGTCAAGGTCATGAACGATCGATTTGAGGCCCTCCATGTTCCCGGAGCGAAGAGATGCCATTGGGCTACACTAGCACGCGACAGGGACAAATGGAGACGTTACTGGCGCCCGCTCGAGCAAATCGACGACTAACGGGAAGTTAAGTGATTAAGTGATTAAGTGAAAACATACAAATTCAAGTTGTAATCTTGATGGTTGCAAAAATTAACAGGTAGCTTCTTTGCAAAAAACAGGAACAGGAGAGGGAAAGATAGTAGAAGGGGCAGGGCACTGGCCTTGCACATGGCCAAAATGGGCTTGATCCGCCTAGAGTGATGCCTGAATGTAGTGCCAGAGCCAGGAGTAAACCCAGAGCACAGGTAAATTTGGCCCCGCCCGAGCCAAAAAAAAAAAATGTTAGGAATAGACTCAAATTAGATTATCTAGTTTGCCTAGTGCTCAACCCCGATTCGATCATTCTCATGGATCTGGTCAGTTTGCATGTCTAATACAGTTTCTACTGAAGCTAATACTTTCTGATTGTTTTTGAAAATCATTGTTCATGGAGTCAGTAACAGAAAACTGCCTAGATGACTGCCCAACGTATGTAATCCTTCAGCAACATGAAGAATACATGGAACATGATAGGAAGGAAATTGTTTCTGTCTTCCATTCTAGATTCTGTGATTAGTCTAATAAAACTAAACTAAAACAGATGAATAGAATAAAACCTAATGCAATTCTATATACATCAGAGCCTCATTTTGATAAAAAGAAACTCCAAAAAAATAGAACAAGTGCAGTTTTGTGTTATTCTGTGCTAAGGAGAGGAGGGTAAGGACCTGGGGTTTGAAAGAGAGGGAAGATGATAGGAATAAATTTTTGGTAAACAGATATTTTCCATGCAGATAAAGCTATCTGATAAAGAGTTTTTATTTATGGTATGTTCTCTTCCTGGTGCAGGCCCTCATCTAAATTCTTTCAGGCAGTTAAGGAAGAGATAAAAAGTTTTTCCCTGAATCTGCTGTATCTTCTTTGCCTTCAGCACAAAACAGCCCCTTTGTCCAAATGGAATATGTTGAGATATGAATACTGCTTCACTTTATCAAAACAATCAATAAAGGAGAAAATTAAAAAAAATTTGAAGAGTAACTAAGACCCACCAACTTTATTCTTGCAGCAAAGATATAGACACATTTGCCATCTACATTTTCTTATGCTAACTGCAGACATAGGAAATGTACCTAGATCAGTTTTATTATATCCAATGGGCATTCTTGATATTTTTCAAAACCAAGATTAGTATGATGAATTATAATTCCTTTTGAACTGTTAGTGCTTACTTAAAAAAATTCCCTGCTAACTTTGAAGACATAGTTTCTTATCTAACAATAATAATAAATTTTCCATTGTTAAATAAATTTCAAATTTTATTAAAAGAATTACTATCACTTGGGATTCTTGACGTTATCTGTATAACAAAATAGAAGTGCAGGATGCTAAACTATGGGGCATGAAATATATCCACCATTTTTCCTCTCTGGTCAGTTGATGAAAGAGACTAGAGGCTCATTTTGTTTTATATAAGAATGATGCTTTACCAGAAAGAGAGAAGTATTATCATCTACCTAGTTCTTTTACTCTTATTTATTGCACATAATTGGTGAGAGTGCTTCTTGGAAATTCCCTATATACAGATAGAAAAAAGGTCAGTGGTGACTACAAGGGACAATGAGCTTTCTTTTGGAGATTCAATGGATTAGTTCTCTATGCTACTGAAAAGAAATTTAAAAGAGCCATATAATCTCCCTGATAAATCAACTATAACAGGAAAATAGAACCCAGAACATTTTTATCAAAAGTTTTTATTTACATTTATTATGGGAGTGAGGGTCACATCCTCAGAGCTCATTCTTTTTTCTTTTTTAAAAATTTTTTAATTTTTAATTTAATTTTTTTTAATGAATCACGATGAGGTACAGTAACAGACTTAGAAACTTTCGTGCTTACATTTCAGTCGTACAATGACCAAGTACCCATCTCTCCACCAGAGGCCATTCTCCACCACCAATGATCCCAGTATCCCTCCCACCACCCCCACTCCATTCACCCCATCCACCCCCACACCACCTCACTTCTGTGGCAGGGCATTCCCATTTGCTCAGAGCTCATTCTTAACTCTGTGCTTAGGGATGACTCTTAGGCATGCCAGGGGCATATATAGGGTGCCAAATCAGGATCAGTCACACACAAAACAAATAACTTTAATACTCTCTCCAGCCCCCAAAGTCATAATTTTATATGAAGATTAAAATTTATAATAAATAAAGGTCAGGAAAAAAGATTAAGAATTGAACTTCTCAAATTCTCTCCCAGCTGAGCCTTTGGAAAAAGAGGCAGGATACCAAAAGAAATCTTCAATTAAGGCTCACAGTTGAGAGCTAAGATATAACACATTTTCAGCAAAAAGAAAGCCTAGGAGCTTAATGCATTGTCACATGAAGGTGTTGCTTTCTTCATCTTACATTTCCTCACCTGTGAACACTTACAGGTTCAGTCTATACACTTCTTTTAGAGCGATTTCATGTGTCTGGCTTTAAATTAGAGCCTTTTAAGCTTTGAAATTAAATATCAAAAATAAAGCAATGTTTAGACAGCTAAATATTGAGTCCTTTTATAGTGTGTTCGTAGGCAATATATACTTTTTAAAAGATTAATTTATGTTCAATAAAGAGCTTAACAAATTATGGTTGCAGCAAATAAATTCTATGAGACACTTATTGAAATAGATCATTATGAAAATTTGCAAAACTTCAGAAAAGGCTAGTGAAAAAAACAGATAAAACAAATGCTTTGTATTTACTGATTTTAACTTTGTTAAAAATATATTAACTTACAAATAAAACAGGGACAATATGCAGAAATAAATCTTGCATTCAATGATCTTGTGTATAATTGTCCTACTGATTTTATTATATTTTTGATAACAAGCTACTTTGTTCCATATTAAAATGTTAATTTCTTTATATTGATATCCATAGTGTTCCCTCAGCATGTACAACATTAACTACTTAGAAATTTCACTATGGATGGTCCTTTGTTTATGCTTTTGCATTATATGTACTTTTTTCACCAATAGAAATGAAAACTCATCAACACCAGTTATCTCTACTGGAGATGGACCATTTGTAACATTAAGCCCAGCACCTAATGGCAATTTATTGCTAACACCAAGGTGAGTCTCTAAATCTGTTCTTGCATTTATTATGTATGGCTTGGAAAGTAGGCTATTGAATCTGGTTAGGCTGTAATTCTAATGTATAATCTTGAAAACTATTTAACATTTTATTCTTCATGTAAACTCAAATACTATCTTATCCAATATGTGTGGAAAGAGAATCAAATAAGACTGAGATATATACTTCTAGCACAGTCACACCGATTCAGCATACTGATACTGATTCTTTATCCTTTTTATTCTGCTCCCTGATTCCAAAGTTAATCTTCTCAAAGAAACTCTACCAGTGGGATAAACAGGGCCAAGGGCTTGGGATAAATAGGTCTCATGTTGATCTGACAATAAGAACAACGTAAATTACCATTAAGGCAGAGATAAAAGTGGGTAAGAATTAGTGATATTATTTTTCTTTTCATAAATAAAATGTGAATTTAAGTGAAAATTTTCAGACTTGCACTCATGCATACATAACCCTGTTTGCTTTTAAATAATTGTCACAGAGAAAGTAATATGGGTAAGGTCTTTTAAGACACTAGTAAGTCTGGGTTTGATCCCCAACACTGCATAGGGTCCCTGAAACTTGAAGTCACCCCTGAGTGCAGAGCCAGGAGCAAGTGCTGAGTACTGCAGGGTGTGTGTGATCTGAAAACAAAAATGAGCAATAACTTTTCCTAAGTCAGTAACAATTGGATTAGGAAATATTTTCTAGCATGTTTTAACTTAGATGATGTTTTAGCTTAGATTATATCATTTCTCTTGCTTTGAAATTAATGGAATTTTTTGGTTGAAATTGGGTTTTGAATTTTTCAGTCCCATTAAAGTCCAGCTGTGGGTGACAAAAAGAAGCTGCATCTACAGACAAGAATTTAAGAAATTGCTGGTGCATCAGCTTGTAGTTTTTTGTTTCACTGTATCACTGTATTACTGTCATCCCGGTGTCCATCAATTTACTCGAGTGGGCTCCAGTTACATCTCTATTCGTCTCAGCCCTGAGATATGAGCAGCCTCTCCTTACTCGTCTTTCCCAATGATTGGAGGCTCTTACAGGGTCAAGGGAATGAGACCCATTATAGATACTCGTTTTGGTATATTGAATATGACACGGGTAACTTGCCAGGCTCTGCCTTTTTTTTGTTTAACATATGTAATCATGTAAGATTTAATTGTATAATTATTCAAGTCTTCATAAAAAGTTAGTTTTTATGAGTTTAACCAATAAAGCAAATTGTAAAAGAATATTTTTAGTACCCAAACACTTTGCCATTAAATGTTTTATCTGAATGTTTACTGGTGCATGACTGATATCATTAGTCATTAGGAAGGAAGCAAAACCAGTGAAAAAGCGACTTATAAGTTCCTTCCAATATTCATGTTACAACTGTAAGTCTTGAAGAGTTTGAGTATTGAGAATATTTTATTTACACATTAGAAGTATTAAAAGTGGATGAAAGGACTGGAAAGATAGTGTAGTAGATACAGTGCTTGCCTTCCAGGAAGCTGACCAGGGTTCCGTCTCCAGGACTCTAGATGGTCCCTCAACTCCTGCCAACAGTGATTCCTGAGTGTAGAACTGCCAGGGGAAGCTCAGAAGCAAACAAAAAATATATAAATAAAATTAAAATGGTAAAGAAAAAAATAATATAAAATGTGGACAAACATCTTAGTTATGCGTATATTTCAAACCATAGCTGGGATATTTCCTACTTATCAAAAAATGTCCGTATTCTATACTTTGATGTCCTTATAATAAGTATGTTCATGTTCTTTTAAAGAGATAATCTCTTCTTTGATGTGCTACATTATACTGTGTTTGAAGAAAATTGTGTGTATTATATGTTTTTGTGTGTGTGTGTGTGTGTATGTGTGTTTAATGTGACCAGTCTCTTCAGTTTCACATTAGGAAATAGTAAGAGAAATCCTTTAGTTCCTTGTATTACACTGATCTCTAGTGGTTGGTAAGTATAAAACATTTTTGAGACAATTTTTCTTTGTTAAAGTTTTAATTTAAAATAGAATTTGGGGCATTGTGGAAAAAGGTTGCTTTTCAAATGTTTAAATAGGCGGTGAGTTTTTTAATTATTTATGCCTACACTTTCTTTTTATGTGTATCTATGTACGTGTCTGCTTCTTTAGAAAGTAGGACCTGTGATTCATTCATTATTGAATTCCCTGAATTCAATTCACATCTTCACATACAGTTAGGTATTGTAGAAATTCTGAAACATAGTCTGCCTAAAAGGATGATAAAATCAAAAGTTAGTTCAAACAATCTCACAAAGACTATTATTTGGCAAGCACATGATGTTCAAGCACAACAAAAATTTATTGCAAATGATTTTTACTTCTCATAAAATTCCAATAAACATGCACTTATTTTACTGGTGAAATTTTTTTTTCAATACTGAGTCTTAAGTATTGAGCAACTTATCCAATATTACACACAAAGAGTAAGTGGCAAAGATAAGGTTGCAAAGTCAGCTCTATTCATCTTTAGACTAAGATTTTTTTTTAGTTTCCCTGAAGTTCATGCATTGATAGATTTAAAATCCTTTGTTTAATATGGGGTAATAAACTCTATTGCATTAACATGTAAGAAGTACACTTTCTGAAACATAAATGTTCTTTTATTACAGTAAAGAGTGTTCACAGAATTCAGTGATTCTATTACAATGTAACCATAAACGTAAGTAAATACTTTGCCATAGTCACCTTTAGATCTTTAAATTTCCAGAATCTAAAGTGTAGTGTACATAAGAATCATAAAATTTAATCCTATGGTAGCTCTGTTACCTAAGTATCCATAAAAACTTAAAAATAAATAAAATTGTATTTGAAAGAAATTAACTTAAATTCTAGAGCCTGCATGTCACCCTAAGTTTCTTTGTAGTTATCCACTCAGTATTTATGATCAGAGAAATCCGCCAAAGTAAAACAGATGTTCTTTCTTTAATTATTTTAATAGCTTGTGGGAAAAGAATGGTGGGTCAAGAAACCGGTCCCAAGATTGTTGGAGGAAATGATGCAAAAGAAGGAGCCTGGCCGTGGCTCGTAGCTCTGTATTATAATGACAGACTGCTCTGCGGCGCTTCTCTTGTCAGCAATGAGTGGCTGGTGTCTGCTGCCCACTGCCTGTACGGGTGAGTGTGACGTCACAGCGCCCCTTAGTGAGATGCCCTATTTCTAGCCTACTCAGAAGCCATTGTTTAGGGGAAAGTTCCTTCCATTTATGACATAAATCTTTCCAATCATTTTCCCATTACAATTATGTATAAATTAAAGTTCAATTAAGAATCGTTCTTCATCCATTACAGAGTCATACCAAATATTCCATTCCTTCCACATATAAAAATAGAAAAATTAACTTATCCATGGGTAAGCATTATGAGGTAAAATGAGAAATGTATAAATTGTGCTAGACATATTTTAATTAGATCAATGTGATCAATAATTTTTTTTAAATAACAAAACCCTTTATAGATAGCCTTCTGGTTCTATGCATTTGAAATAGCTAAACTACAGCCTCTTCCTCATCTCTGAAACACTGGTGTGTGTGTGTGTGTGTGTGTGTGTTTTATTTTTTATTTTTTTTATTTATTTATTTATTTATTTATATTTTTTTCCCTTTATTTTATTTAATTTTTTTTTTACAGTTGTAGATTTACAATTTTTTGTGCTTTGGTTTCAATTATACAATGATCAGATACCCATCCCTCCACCAGTGCCCATTTTCCACCACCATGGATAATATCCCTCCCACCCCCATCCCCCCATCCCCCCCTGTCTCTGTGGCAGGGCAATCCCCTGTGTTCTCTCTCTCCTTTTGGGTGTTGTGGTCTGCAAAAGAGGCATTGAGTGGCAAACATGTTCAGTCCATAGTCTACTTTTTTTTTTTCACTACTTTTTTTTTTTCCCTTTATTTTATTTTATTTTTTTTAAAGTTGTAGATTTACAATTTTTTGTGCTTTGGTTTCAATTATACAATGATCAGATACCCATCCCTCCACCAGTGCCCATTTTCCACCACCATGGATAATATCCCTCCCACCCCCATCCCCCCATCCCCCCTGTCTCTGTGGCAGGGCAATCCCCTGTGTTCTCTCTCTCCTTTTGGGTGTTGTGGTCTGCAAAAGAGGCATTGAGTGGCAAACATGTTCAGTCCATAGTCTACTTTCTACATGCATCTCCCCTCCTGGGAGGATCCTCCAAACATCCTTTATTTGGTGCTCCCTTCTCTATCTGAACAGCCCTTTCCTCTAGGATACCCGGCTGGCCTCTAAGTTATGGAGTAATCCTCCTGGTGCTGATCTCAGCTATTCTTGGGTATTAATCTCATACTTTGTTACTTTATATCCCCCAGATGAATGCAATCTTTCTATGTCTATCCCTCTCTTTCTGACTCATTTCGCTTAGCATGATACTTTCCATATTGTACCACTTGTATGTAAATTTCATGACTTCATCTTTTCTAACAGCTACATTGTACTCCATTGTGTAGATGTACCAAAGTTTCTTTAACCAGTCATCTGTTCTTGGGCATTCAGGTTTCTTCCAGTTTCTGGCTATTGTAAAGAGTGCTGCAATGAACAAACAAGTGCAGATGTCACTTCGACTATACATTTTTGCCGCTCTGGGATATATTCCCAGGACTGGTATTGCTGGGTCAAATGGGAGCTCAATTTCTAATTTTTTGAGAATCGTCCATACTGTTTTCCAGAAGGGCTGAACCAGTGGACATTCCCACCAACAGTGAAGGAGTGTCCCTTTCTCGCCACATCCACGCCAGCATCGGTTGCTTTTGTTCTTTTGAATGTGGGCCAGTCTGTGAGGTGTGAGATGGTATCTCATTGTGGTTTTGATCTGCATCTCCTTGATGATTAATGATGTAGAGCATTTTCTCATGTGCTTTTTTGCCATTCGGATTCGGATTTCTGCACCTCCAAAGAAACAGTGACCAAAATACAAAGACAGTCTACAGAATGGGAAAGGATATTCACCGAATACACATCTGACAAGGGGTTGATATCCAGGATATACAAAATACTGGTTAAACTCCACAAGAAGAAAACATCCAACCCCATCCAAAAATGGGGCAATGAAATGAACAGAAACTTTCTCAAAGAAGAAATCCGAATGGCAAAAAAGCACGTGTGTTTTATTTTTTGATCCACATCTGGCAGTCCTAAATCTTTGTTCCTGGCTCTGTGTTAAGGACCTCTCTACCTGGCTGTGCTCTGGACCATACATGGTGCTAGGGATTAAACCTGGGCCAGCTGGAAGAAAAGCAAGTGCCCTACCCACTTCATTATTGCTCTGAGCTAAAGGGATTTTTGTTGTTTTGTTCTATTTTGTTTTACTTTGCAACCCAGTTGCAAGTCTATTAATCTTTTCTTTTTTTTGTCCGTGTTTATGTACACAAAGTGATTACACAAGTGCCAAAGATTGTTCTTATGTCACTTTCATCAGTCTCTTCCCTCTATTTTCCCATTCACCTCCCCTCATCACTGTGAAAAAGTGTTTGTAGTTTGATGTGTTCCCATTTGTTTATTTTTTCTTTTGTCTATAGCGACATTTTTTAAAATTTTTTATTAGTGAGACACCATGAGTGCAGAGATATTTTTATGAGTGGAGACAAACACTGGCTAGAGTGATAGCACAGCGGTAGGGTGTTTGCCTTGCATACAGCCAACATGGCCGACCCGAGTTCGATTCCTCTGCCCCTCTCGGAGAGCCCGGCAAGCTACCGAGAGTATATCTCGCCCGCATGGCAGAGCCTGGCAAGCTCCCCGTGACGTATTCGATATGCCAAACACAGTAACAACAAAGTCTCCAATGGAGACGTTACTGGGCCCGCTCGAGCAAATCGATGATCAACGGGAGGGCCTTTACCTTTACCTTTACCTTAGTCTTCTATCATGGAGTAGTTCCTAGGAACTCAGGATTTTTTCTTCTGTGATATGTGTTAATACAAGTAAGTTAATTTGAACTACTATATATTTGGAAATTCTTCAATTTTGCTCATATCTTAGACTTGATATAATCCCTGTCTTTGAGAACTTTTTTCATTTCTGAAAAAAATGGTATACTCTGAGTGCATTTTAGGGCATCCTCAACTGTGTATTTAATAAAGGGTTGCAGCACTCTCTCTCTCTTGCTGCCCAGATTCAGTGGTCTTGGCCACTTCCCCCACCCGGGGAGACCAATGATGATGGGCAGGCAAAGGAGGGAAGGAGTGTCAGGCTGGTTGGTCTCAATTGCAGTTTGTTCCAATCTCCTCTTCGTTCTCCCCTGATTCTCCTCCTGCTTCTGCCTCTCCTGGTCCCCCTCATATTCCTCTTGGGTCCTACTCCTTCAGCCTTCTCCTTCCTGCTTTTGTCTCCCTCTCTACTTCATTTTTCTTCTGCCTCCTCCAGCCCACTCTTACAGCTTTAGTTAAATCCCAAAGCAATTGGGGTTTACACATAGGTGTGGTCACAATCAACAGAGGTAAAGTCCTTCCCTCAGGGTAAGCTTCTTCTAGGACAGATTCTCTTTCAGCAGGACGACCCACCCAAGAGCGGAATCCCATGGGTTTGTTTCTCCTCTTCTTATCCAACAAACATATGAACATTCATAATATTAGTCATATTTTATTGATACAAGAGGGATACATTAAGTTTATAGGATTGCTCTTCCAAGTCCATCTTGCTATACAGATCTCAAAATATGGTGCCCTGCCAGATTAGTCTTTCCTAACTCTAGCAGGGTCCTAATCTCGCTGTTACTTTTGGATCAGGACAGCATTCATCCATGACTATGCTCTTAACTTATAGTTAAGTATTGTGGCACTTTGGCCTCGCCCATTTTGATGCCAGGGTATCTCACAGCTTGCCCTGGGTTCATTCTGTCCCTCGTCGAGACCCTGTTTTTGGGCTGCTAGGATCTGAGGAAAACTGAGGCTTATGTCAAGAAAGCAGATGCTCAGAAGTGAAAATTATTTGAAGTCAATTTACTCCCAAGTTACAAAAGCATAATATTGACTGTCTACCTGTGTCTATACAAAAAGGAAATTGCTTTAAACTATGCAAAAGACATAAGGAGAGGGGAAAGGCAACAATTAACTTGCAATACAAGTTCAGTGTCCTTAGAAGGGTCTGACCTCACAAGTTAACAGAGTCTGATTAGGGGGAAAAGGTGATAGACTTGTTGGGGAAGAGAGCACAGAGAATTTACAGATAAGCATAAAGGAATGGGAGTGACTCAGGAGCACTGTGATGGGTGTAACCCGATAAACGTAAGTTCCCTGTGGCAAGGGAGAAAGGACAAATCAACATTATCCTACACTGAACCTTATCTGAGCCTCAGTTTAATTATTTTTTAGAGAAAACTCCATTTTGATTTAACTCATTTTAGTTCCTATGGGAGAAGGTGTTGGTAGTGTTAGGGATTGAACCCAGAGACTCAGACATATTTAGCTCTATTGCTATGGTAAGAGAGAGATAAAGGCCCTCCCGTTGATCGTCGATTTGCTCGAGCAGGCCCAGTAACGTCTCCATTGGAGACTTTGTTGTTACTGTGTCTGGCATATCGAATACTCTCTGTAGCTTGCTGGGCTCTCCGAGAGGGGCGGAGGAATCGAACTCGGGTCGGCCATGTTGGCCACTTGTAAGGCGAACGCCCTACCCGCTGTGCTATCGCTCCAGCTCCTGGTCCTTTGGATCATTCTAAGAACTCAAAATGCTATTTAGACTTAAAATAAATTACTATAGACTACAATAAATCTTCTCTCTTTTCATATTTACTGATGTTGTTTGTCTCTGGTAGTACTGTTTTTGCTGATTAAGCTTGGCAGACTTCTATATGTGCTTTCCTTTCTGATTTTCTAGTGTCTTGCTGTACAAGGGACGAGGAGGGAGGTAACCTGGAACATGCTGAAGAATTAGGCTGGGGTTGCTTCCTTTCTTTTCTGTCTACCTTAACCAGTGACAGGAAAAATATATCCAGGTGTAATTTGTCCAGTAGATTTGTCGCTTCAGAAGCTTTGGTATAGGCCCTTCGATATAATGTAGGCTGGGTATGGTGACTCCTGGGACTTGGCCATTAGGGTTCTGCCTCCTGTTCCTAATAGGCCCATTCATGTCAGCAGAAGGCAGGCCTTATC